AGGGCAGGGATAATGTTTTTGCTGGTGTTAATGTTTTTGTGTGTTAACAGCATAACAACAAGCAATTAACAGAGTCAGGTTAAATTTTTTGGCGAGGTAGGGTATGGCTCACAGAACAATCGATTAGATTTTGCTAATGATCTGTATCATAATTTGGATACAGGAATATTTTAAAAGATATTTAACCATTGTGAGTGCTGGAAAGGCTGTTGCCTGTATGTGAGCCCCCTTGTGGCCAAAGTGCACACTGCTGAGCACCTTGGTCAGTGATAGGTGCTCACACTTTGCCAGTGGAAACTGAGTGCTGCCACTCAGTACGCCCCACTGTGTGAAACAGGGACTGAAAGGAGCCCAGCGAGGCAACAGCCCACAGCTGGAGAAGGATCTGGAGCCACAGCTGGAGAAGGATCTGGATCCACAGCCAGACGAGAGCCTCATGGCAGAGATTTTGAGCCAGGCTCAAAGGCGTTATTATTATTATCCATAGAACTGGTTTTATGCCATTTTATTTACATTTTGACCTTTTTCAGACTACAAAGTAACCATTTAGATTGAGAATATGGACATGAAGTATCACTGCAACAATCGGCCAGTAACTGAGTTGAGCAGTTGTTGAACAAGCAGAACACAAATTTGCAGAAATGTGATGTCTTCACCGCTTTGCCCACTATCCCCGTTTTGCTCTAAACTAACGAGTGAGTGTCATGTCCATCATATATCTTGAATAATATTTAAACTAATAATGACAGCAGCGTCATTCCAGATACCAGTAGCAGGTTTTCATGGTCAAGCAGTCATATTGTGAGAGTCAAACTATCATGGGAATGTTTCTTCTCCTAAGAATTGGCTGATGGTCGAGTCGGTGCCCACACAGTGCTGTGATAAGTCGTCCCATTCAAATGACTACAGTGGTGTCATGATTTCGCTATAGGAGGAAGTGCACATGTTCAGACACAAAGCTTTGAATGGCTTTCATGCTTTCTATCTATAGAAGTTATTGTAGGATGCTAATCTGTGCTGTGATGAATTACAGAGACATGAGTGCTGTTATTCTGCTTCTCTTCTTCTCCTCTTGCTAGACGTAACTTTTAATCTCACAACAGTGTAAGTGATAAGAGAGTTGCGAAACATTGTTTAGAAGGTTGTGTGTATGTGCATGCATGTATCCAAGACAGAGAGTAGCAAGGCAGACTGACTGGAAGAAGCAGTGACAAAGAGCTATCTCCCTGCTCAAGCTTCCAGACCAGACACATTGCCGCCATGTGGTTTTCCAGTAAGCTGACAAAGAAGCTGAATAATGTATCTATCAGTCTGCCAGAGTGTGCAGAGCACTGGGCATTGAGGAAGCTGCCAGCTTGTTATAGGCTCATTACAGGTGAAGATTACATGTGGAGGTAGGTGCAGCCGCCTTGGCACTGTCTCCCTGTCCTGCCCTCGCTAGAAGCCACAACACTATGTCACTCCCCATGGCATAGAGAAAGGGAGACAGAGGTGATAGAGGAGGAGGGAATGAGCCTCCATGCTCCCCTAACCCCCTAAAATGAAATTGACAGGCTCGCTCAAGTAATTGCTCCCAGCACTATTTTCTTTGGCAGGAAATACTGTTATCGACAAATAGGGGATTCAATAAGTGGCAGGAGATGAGGCTCTAGGCTGTGGTCAAAAGGATGTGTCTGTCCTCCACTGTTGAGCTTGCAGTGTCTCCTGAAGCTCTATTTCTCATCCATGCTCTTTCTCCTCCATCCTTTTTTTCTCTTTTTGTATGTTTTCCCTACTTTTTTATCTCCCCATATTGCCTCTGCCTCTTTAACTTTTTATGTGTTACTATTTCATGACACACTGCCCATACAGCATCTCTCTCTCTCATCCCTCATCCCTCCATTCTGCCCTGCTCCCTTTCTCTAGGGTCTCTTTTTGACCATTTTCTTCTGTTGACCATTTTGGTGAGCCTGAAGGGGAAAACACTATTACCCAGTAGCCTGCAGGTAATGCCCCCTCCCTCTCCTTAGATTGTTTCTCTGCTGCCAGCGTTGTGGTGTAATGTTGATATTATCCCAAAGGATGCCATTGATTTGGGCTAGGGTCATGAAAAAGCAGTTTATGGTCAGTGTATTTGGTTTCCAGAGGTCAGAGCATGCGGTGAAACCAGAGCTCAAGCTTTTCTGGACAAAGTGGTATGCCTGCTGGGAACTACTGAGAGATAAGCAGATAAATAAAAAGTGGGTGATTTTTTTTCCCTCTCTCACTGCCCTGTGTATTACTGGGGAAGTGATGTTCTGAAAATGCAGATGCTTAAACAGCCATGTCCAGAAGTGCAATCACAGGGACCAAAGCAGCGTTTTTGCACTTGAAATTATGACCGCTCTTTCTAATAAAGTAATGGGTTTTTTTTGTTATGCTTGAATCAACATTTATCCTTGCATGGTTGTGATTACTTTTCCAAAAAGTACAGATGTAGGCACTCAAAGTGTCGCTCTCTGCTACGATGCGTGGCTACAGTATAACGTTCGTAGGTGGCGCTCAGCTTCCACTCACATGTAGCACCCGGTGAATACACAGTTCAGTCCATAATATAACGAAAGCCTAATTAGAAATCAAAGAAAGCAAAGCCCTGTTTTCAGGGTTTGCTGTAAACCGTGATTATTTTTGTGTGGATCGTGATGCAGGTTTACTGTAATATTTTGTAGATTTTTTGTTTCAGTTTATGAGGACAGATCAACCAAACCTCTTTTCTAAAAAATTATGTTCCTAGCCTTGTCTGTAGCAAAAAAGTGTTGGTTATTTGACTGCTGTGACAGTGCAACAATCCTGAGTGTATTTTTCAAAAGTGAGTCAAAGACAAATGACATGAAACTTTTTGAGCAGGTTGCAAGAGCTTCTTTAAGAAACAAGCACGGCCATTCAGCTAATAAAAGTGCCTAGATTTTACTTAAACAGCAAAAAGGAGAAAAATGTGCCATTGTTGTACCTATAGAGTTTTACATCACTAAGTTGAACCTTGAAGTGAATCTCTTGTGTACTCAGTCTTCACATTTCACCTCAAGGATTGTTAAGTGTCTAGAGTATCTGCCTTTTCAGCGTGAATACGTGGTTGTATCCACCTCATTATACTTTGGGTCGAGCTGCTCATAGTCAATACCAAAAAGGCCCATAAAGTAGTGTTAATACTGTGCAACAAAGAGTCCTAGCCTTCAGTCAGATAAAAGCTAAGCCAGTCACTCCTCCACATTCACCCAACAGTGCTTGAGGAAGTGATGAATGAAGTGTTTATAGATCAAACTAAGAAAGATGGAAAAAAGAAGGGGAAGATGAATTTATTACAAAATGGAACTCTACTTTGGCAAACTAGACAATTAAGTGAAAGTACACTCTCAGGCTTAACTAGAGATGTTTTTTTTTTACCAGTGTCACAATAGATGAAAATGTTAAAAAAAAAGTTTAATATTGTTCCTCTCTGCGTAGCTAAAGGCAGTGGTTCCTGAACTGGGGGGGGGGCATGCAGATCAGGCCGGCACAAAAGGTGGGGCTCAGCTGAAAGCGCTTAGGAACCACTTCCTAAAGAAATAAAAAAAATTTTGTGGAATGACGTTAGAAGAATCTTGTTGACCCATTTGTTGGTGTTTCTTACAAAATGTTCTACTGATAAAGACAAGAACATAAGATACTAGGTGTGTGCACCTACATTTCTTCTTTGAATAATTAAATATAATTTTGATGCTGGTTATAGAAGAGGTAATCCTTCCACTTGGTGTTGGCAGGAATCATCTCTGCAGGCTGTGGAGCGTGATTTGACGTCGTCCTTTATCATATAAATACTTAGTGCCGTTACTGAGCCAATCAAACTATGAGCTCAGGTTGCCCCTAAATCTGAGTTATTGGTCATTTGCTGTTGTTAGGCTGCCTCTGCTATTTACAACATAAAAACAGTTTCTTTTTTCATGTTGACTGTGCATTGCAGGAGAGCAGCAGGCCTCTCTTTTCTTCAGATAAATGAGCTAGCTTATTACTTCTCAAACTGCCTATTAGCACAGCTCACTTTGCAGGGAACCAGCAGTCCAAGGATGAATACACTGAAGATGATTTTGCCTAGCAGTCTGGTTCAGGCATATGTGGTGCTGTTTTTACCACATGTTTCCTCATTTTGTATTGTATGATGCCTTGAATCAGCCTCCCACCTAAACAACAGAATCTGAAACTAATTAATTTACTGTAACACTGATTTTTTTGTTTTGTATTGAGAGTAGAGATAATGCAGTAAAATGTTTCAATTTGCATGCAAATCCTTTACAATTCCTGTCGATGGCTGGACTGCATGGACATATTGTCAGACCTGCAGAAGGTTCAATCACTCATTAACTTTGGAATCAAGCTGCAGCTCAATGTAAGGTACAATTCTGGCTTTGCTGCGAGAGGGATTGGGTAAATGTATTACTTTGCTGTGGTGAATGTCTGTTGCTGCCAATAGTTAATCTCATTGTGTAAGCAACAGTTTAGCAACGTGTCCCTCGAGCCCTCTGTGGAAATTATACACAAGAATCCATTTACTTCAAGCAGGAACAGCATGCGGAGGCTGTTCGGCTTTGAGTACAGGCAGTCATTATGGTCTTGGCCGATTGAGAAAGAGAAGTTTCTCTCTCTGAACACTTTAATCACTCATCCACTTTATGAAACACAGAAAGACTGCTTGTATCATGTTGCCATTCATTCATCCTGGTTATTATTGATCAAACAGCTGTATCTATTGAGAACACTAGTACTGACTCAGTATAAGATGCTCTCTACCGTATGTTCTCAACTGTCTGATTTAATGTGACCAGTGGAATAACTCATATTGAATCGTTACACTTGAATTATAGGATTATATTGATGCAAATCATGTTTGCATGTTCTCAAAATTTTTTTATATCTAACTATTGTATTTTTATTTTATTACCATAGGTGTTGAAGTTATGTTGTATGATGATAATCTAACAACTTTCCTGTTGATATTTTGATTTCAGGGTGGACTAAGGAACAGCAAGCATGAGTGTACACTTTCATCCCAAGAGTATGTCCACGAGCTGCGTTCAGGCATCACAGACGAAAAGCTGCTCAACTGTCTGGAGTCCCTCAGAGTGTCTCTCACTAGTAACCCTGTCAGGTTAGGAACTCACACTTTAACTCACCGCTAACTGTGCCTTGTACTTGGGAATTTATGAATGATTTCTGCAAATAATTCATAGCACTTTATTATCTCTTGTTATTGGCACAATAGTAGAAGATTAGTAAAAATCAAAAGATGACTCACTTTGAACTGCTCCCTTTTTTGCACACTATTAAATCAGATGCAGTGAAATGTCAGGATCCCAAGACTTCTGTGAAGGATCAGCTGTTGTATTCATGTGGTTTTAGATTTTACACACAATATTTAGGGTAAACGTATCACTACGTTTTCCTCTGGACTTTGGTGTGTGAAGGGAACCTTTTGAACAAACTACTAACACACACAGCAGATACCGTCAGCTGGAAATACTGTGCTAAAATTTCACTGGAACTAGTATTTGTCAACTATGATAAATTCATTTTTACATTTTAATGTTTTTTGTGATCTTTTAAAGTGGATTCATGACTGATTTTACAAAATTCAACTTATATATTAATGTTATAAAAATTCTGATATTTTAATGTTAAATGGCCCCGTTTAACATTTTCTAAAAAAAAAAAAAAAAAACACTGAAATGTTTTATGTGACATGATTCCAATAAACAACTCTACAGTAAAACAACATACAGTATGCATGTATAAATGAACCAGATCCACTTTAAAGATGCGGTGGCATCTGAAACCAGATGTCATCCTGACTGCAGGAAGAGTCACTTAGCCGTGTTTGTGGAAGAGCACAACAAGGTGGGAAACGTGCACAACATTCATTTTAAAAAAGCACAGTGAATATCTGTGCTGACCAAACGAGCACCAAGTTGTAGTCACTTGGAGTGCGTTTCTCATGCCAGACCACTCTGTTCATTAAGTATGGTTTCTGCATCAGCTGTTCTGGAACCTTCATCAACACATGGCTCTGCGCCATATGTATACTACAACCTGTCTCCAGTCCTCCAAGAATGGCTAGTGCCATCACTTCTTCTGTTTACTCTCTGTATAATACTGCATGCAAACATAAATTTTGGTTCTTTGTTCTCAGCTCTGCATTGTTAAATTGTGATCGGCTCTTGGGTCTTTCATTACAGGGCCTCAGCGTCTTTCCCGCCTCTTCTCTACTGGTTAACCAAATTCTCAACCTTCTCTCCTGTGAATGGGATCTTCAATTTTAATTTCGTGCCACTAATGCAACAGAACCCTTAGTGACAGCAGAGCCTCTAAATTATTTACCAGCCCACTGATGAGGAGATGTTTCTTAATGTGAATCAATGAATGGCGCATATTAAATGGCCATTGGATAAGTGGAATACTTTTTCATGTTGACCCCTGGGTACAGAGAGAGGACTTGGCAGCTGTCCCCAGAGCAGTGTTTAGTCTTTTGTTTGTGTGCTTGGTATTTGAGCACTGCTACCAGTATTACATTTGCATCTGTGCATTAACCAATTAGTAAGAAACTACAATAGTTAAGTCCATTTGCCAGTTTCACCACTGTGAATATACCGTTCCACGACCTGGATGACTGAGAATCTCCGCAGATGATACAATGGACATTTTCATTCATAGTAACACTTTTCTTCCAAATCAGTGATCCAGCCATTGAGATCCACATGACATGTTGGTTTGAAGTGTGCAGAGGATGCACTAACTAATAATACATACACAAAGGAACCATGCATAGTTTTATACTGTGCTAAGATGAACACAAATGCTTGTTTTGCATATAGTATAGATTAACACAAATGCTTGTTTTGCATATAGTACGAAATACAGGATCACTGAGTAGTTCGGTGGTTGTCTCTCTAGTGAGCAGAGCTGTGAAGTCAGTGTCCACAGTCTGCAACAAACTATGGGGAGTCAAGTCAGTCTTTCCTTTCAGAAAGGCCAACTGATGCTGAGGGGGTGCAAGGGTGGCCAGGCTTGCCCTATGGTGTTTTGAAATGGCTGAACCTTTGACTGGAATGTAAGGGACCAGTGCTTTATGGAGGAGTTGCCTCTCACAGGCGGCAGGACCCACCCAGGGAGAAAGCCACCTCTGGGTGTGTGTGCTGAGGAGGGCTACACAAGTGTTGACTAGCACAGGTCAAATGTTTGTCTTTTTGCCTCTTATTATTTCTCTCCTGGGGAAAGGGATCGATTCTTTTCGTGAAGCATGGATAAGGTTGCTCCTAATTAATATGAATGGACTTGTCGTGGATCAGAACACACAGGAAATCCACATTTGGTTTGTTTCTCTTCTGACTCCACTATGTTAATGTAACCTTTGTATGGCATGTTACTGTATCATACACTGAAGTAGCTGGCAGAGCAATTCTTTCATGCTTGTTTTAATTCACCCTCAGAACACTAATCAGCTGGCTTGCCTTTAAATATTGATATTTGTGGGAGTTGATTGCAAATTTCACTTTAAGAAATGGGAACATTCCTTGGTTAAAGCTGACTAGAGTTAAGGATGTTTTCATACTGAGACACACTGATCATTTCTAGATAATATATTAATATTTATTTTACTATGATGATTGTACCGCACAGTTTATAGCAGTGAGTAGCATTTCTCATTACAGTCAAACTCCCATCCCGACAGAAATGCCAGTGTATAGTCAAAAGCTATTTAGATTCCTTGCAGTTGAAAAGGCCAGATAAATTGTCTAAAATTTTAATAAATTGAGAGTGAAATTTTAACAATGAAGCCTGTATTTATCAACCATTTTAGTGTAGTAAATGGGCAGGAATTCTAATACCATTTGGCACACAGTTCAGACTGCGTATTACTGTGTATCACCTGGAGAGTACCATGTAATTAATGTGTGAACAAAAACAAACCTGAGAAAAAAGTAATTTACAGAAATATGTTCCTGTTAAGAAAAGATCCTTATTGTTGTTAATGGTGCTAAACAGAAAAAAGTTGTAATATTTCAAGGTGGTTTTAATGTAGAAACATCTTTCATAAATTTAGTGTATAATCTGTGTTCCAACCTAGATTGTTCATTTAGTTTGTTTTTTATTTGATAAGAGAAGTGGGCAGCTAGACATAATGCTGATCATTACTGCAGTATACCCCATCCTTAGTGTTAATGCAAAAGAATTAGTTTTGTTGTGTTTAAATGGTGGAAATACATTCAACATTTATGCACTAAATCGAAACCAGCAGCCTATTTTGTTTCATTAAGTGTTAAACTTAGTTGTGTGCACCGGAGTCAGTTTCCGCATTAAAGTGTTGTTGGTCTTCACAGTAAGTGCTTACCACTGCTTTTTATTTCTCCTGTGATGTTTGGGCAGCCTGCTAATTTGCTCCCAGAGGCCTGTGTTTGTCTAATAGTTTAATTGGCTGGGCTGTGCACCTGTTTGGCAGCACAGGTGGCCACGGGGCCACTGTGCTGAGGGCCTTATCTCCCAGGCAGTCCCTCACAGGTGTGTGGCATGCAGCCTTGCAGATCCACCCACAGATGGCATCGCCTGGAGCGTCCGCTTCCTACACTTTTTCCACCCTCTTTTCCTCAGTTGCCATGTTTTCCACTTGTCTTTCTGTCAGAATTTCCCCAGCCAATTATTTATCCTCCACTTCATTCTCCCTTCTTTTAATTTTGTCATTTGTATACTTGCTTCTTAATTTAGAAGTGTCAAATTGACTAGCTAATTTTCATTAATTTCTTAATCCACTGACATGTACTGAGATGCCAATTTACAGAAAATTACAACCCTCATTTTCTAAGTCAGTGGGAGCGGAGCTGTTGTGGTTCAGTCCGGCCTTCTTTTTCACACCCATTTCACAGTTTCTTTATTCTTTGTGTCACACGTGGGAAAACTGTGACAAGATTCATGTAAAAATATATCAGTTTAATATTTCAATAGTCAGAACATTCGCTTCTCTTTGCAGTCGCTGAAGCAAAACTTTATTTTATATCATGCGCTCTTTTTTTTGCATATCAGAACGACTTTGCTTTTACACTTTATTTGAACATTTCAGTGTGAAGCAGCTTAGAGAAAGTAGGGTTAATGCTCACTTTCTCTGATTCAATGCAGCTACTGCTTCATCATTAAAAAGAGTGATTTTAGTGGTTTTGGGTAGCAGAACACACATATCCATGGCTCCAGCTTTTCAGTTTCCTATATTCAGCCTTGAGCATTGCACTCTGGCTCTGTTAAATCCCAACAGTGACTTCCATATTAGATCTGCTAGCTCTCAGATCACTAAGACATATTTAAGCAAAATTGAACTGGGCTCCTAACTTTTCATTATGTGCAATCTTCACGGTACAAGTCAGACATTTTCTCAGGGGCATTTTCTTGTGGGGTCTTTTTGTGGAGGTGGGAGACATTTGCTGACACCAGAGTTTCTGTCTGTGTCTGGGTACTCAAGGTGTGGGTTGTTGTGATGATCTCGCTGCTCTGCCACAACGAGTGTTTCCGAGTCTGAATCAGTCTCACCAGCTTTTCTCAGCTGAATGCTTGTAGCTGAGCACAGAGGGTTGCATGGAACACTAGTAATGGGCTTTTTATGAGCTTTGTAGTTGCTATGCCGGCTAATATAAAGCTGCTCATCCTATTGACTGTTTGTGCTAATGCCCAGTGTGAAAAAGCACTGAACAACATACTGAGAAATACTGACATCTCTGCCAAGTACAATGGTGGTGCTCCCAATAAATGACTCGGCAAAGACCTTCAATGAGCTCAAGCTCCTCATAACAGTCAAATAAACTCTGATTTCACTAGAAACAACCTCTAGATAATCAAACCACAGTATAATTGAACTGTTTCTGTGAAACTCCTTTTGTTGCAGAAAAAAAGCCATTTCTAACCTGAACAGTCGTTTTCCCAACTCTTCCTTCCCTTGACCACTTCTGTCCACTTTGTGCACAACATCCAATTAACACTAGCGCCAAGGAGCATGTCCATCTGGCCATCTATAGCTGTGATTGCCTGAACAAATATGAACATCTAAATGAGTCACAGGTTGTAAATACCCTCTCGACAGCCCAGGCCAGAAATATTGCCTGGCTCAAACGC